GCCTGGTGACTCCGTGCTACGCCGTTTAGCAGATGGTCACGTGAACACAAAACAGTCCTTTGGAATTCAACTCCAGAAAAACTCACCAACATTTGACAACTTAAACAAGAAATATAAGAGCGATGAAGTTTGAAACAGCGGGAATTCACTTTATTAGAGACGTTTTCGTTACCTTCATCGTCGTCGTTGCTTTTAAGTTCCCAATTGTCAACATCGTCGATATTCGTAAAATCTGTCTTTTAATCTTTGTGTCACAGAAGACATCCGAATTGGCTTACAATGATAATGTAAAATATTTTTAGAATAACGGTTTAGTCTTAAGAAGAACCCCTTCTGTGAATGACTAGTTTTCGTATACTATTCTGGGAGGACTTTTTTAAGGATTTCACTCTTTTTCGGCGACTGGCCTCTACTGGGACAACCCGAAATAGTTTTGACAACAAGATTGTGAAAACCATCACACTGAGATTTACATGTCACAACTTTAGTTAATAGTAGTTTAAAAAGACATTCCTGGATTTTGCTGGTCCGGGAAGATTCAGATGAAGGAATATCCTGGAAAAGCTTTTCTAACGTCATTTTTTTTTTTCATCCTTTCGACCAACTAACAAACTATTGTAGGTCCTGGTAAACGGCTTTTGTCTCTCCTCTATCCCCAAATCAAAACTGGACAGTGAAGCCTGCGGAGGAGGCTAAGTATATACAACGTAAAAAAGATGCAAAAAATATTTCAGTGAGTTAAAAGCACCAAGCTTTCAGCCATATGGAACTTACAAAATCACTTAATTGAGATAATATTTTTAGTACACTACAGATAGAAACGACTAGGGGTCTATGTTAAAAGTTTAACGTTAAAGTGTACAGAAAGTAACAGAAATGCAAAGAATATATCTCTTAGTTATAAGCACCAAGCTTTAAGCCAAACGGACCTTACGAAATCACTTGAATGAGAAAATATTCCTATTTATACAGTGGCGGATCCAGGGGAGGGGCCCACCCACCCCTTATTTTTTTCGAAGGGTATGAAAAATGGAATTTACGGTGTTTGAGTGGATACGAATTAGCCAGAAATGAAATATTTCTACGGCACGGGAACAGTTCGGGAGCAGTTCAGGAGCAGTGGGGACTGGGGCAGTTGAACTGCAGTATGGGTAAAATGGAGCGCTATAAAAGGGATGCTTATCACGTGGGAAAGCAATCTAGGCCGACACCTCGTCTAGCTCACGTTATATTTTATTCATTTTTTTTTAGTATATATTTGATTTACTAGTGACGGTTCGCGTTTCGCAGGGGTTTCTTAGCTTGTTTGATTTTCCTTAAATTGTTTAGAGTTTGCCGTCCTTTGTTGGAATAGTTGTTTTGTAAATACATTAAGCGGACACCCTCTATTAAGCGGACAGTAGCCGAAGTCCCCAAATTTATTACCCTTATTTACTTTAAATGAAACTTTTATTAAGCGGACACCTCTATTAAGCGGACGCGGTCACCTAAAAAGTACCTCAAATGGTCATTTCTATTGCTGCCAACCCGTATTAAACGGACACTTGTAATTAAATTCCACCACCCAACATACCAGACACCGGAAATGCGAAAGATTGCCACCCACTAATTTTAATATATTTACTTTAAAAAACGTGATTTGACGAACTTATTTGATTAGTTTCACAGTACAGTGTCGTTTTTTCGTTTTGTTTGTATAGAGCTTGTTTCACTCATCTGAGTTCTTCAAATTTGAGTTGCAATCTATGTTTATGGTACTATCATCAATTAGTCCCCTTTAATAAAGAAATTAATGCAAACGTATATCGTCATAGTCTCTAGGAGTGTTCTAAACGTTTCCACTGTTCCTTTGAATGGCATTTGACACCTCACATGACGATATCTATCTAAACCTGTATTAGGCGGACACCCTGTATTAAGCGGACACTACAGCATTCCCCGAGGGTGTCCGCTTCATACAGGTTTCACTGTAAGGGCAAAGACCTTCCAGCCGTGTAGCCTTCGTAGGATTGGCTTTTCAGAGCATGAGCCATGGATCCTACCCAGATTTCCTGCCGAGTTTTTTTTTCCCTACTGAGGTTTTTTTCCGAAAGGTTTTTTCTGGCCTCTGTTCTGACATTATTCTGTGTAAACTGCCGCTCAGCTCTGTTCTAGTTTTTCCACCACATGTTTGAATGCAATAGATGATGTTGTATAACGTATTGCTATATATTCGGTGCTCGGCCGAAACAGCCAAAATAAGCCTAATGGTTTTCTATTCATGTCGTACTGCGTAGTGGAGCCGAAATTTGAATGTCTTTGAATTATAGCGGGGTTCTCGCGCGCGAACCTCGCGCAGCGGAGCACCATGGGTAAGAAAATGCAGTAATCTACCCACGCCCGCCCGCCCGCCCGACCGTCCGTCCGCACCACAGGCAAACCAATGTAAAATAACTCAATCAACAGGTATTGCAACCCAAATGCAACTCGAGGTTATTTTGGCGAGTTATAGCATAGCCACCGGCGTCTTGTAAAGCAGAGACAGCTAAAGAGTCAATAAAGACGAAAACGGAAAACGGAAATTGTTTCTGGATTAGTGTTGTCTAAAGTATTAACCTTAGAATAATTGTCATGTCCACAAATTTGGAATATAGAGCAAGAGAAAGGCAGAGAAATAGAGAAAGTAGGCGGCAAGCCAGCGAAGCTCGAGGAGAAAAAGGGCGACAGAGATCTAGAACGAGAGGTAAAAAAAAGGAGTCATATTTTTGTTAGAAGAACAACATGAAACTTTTGTAGTGGCGGTGACAAAATGAGAAATGCAAGCGGCCACCAATCAAACGTAAGGCGAAAATGAGCGGCAGTGAAAAAAAGTGAACGAAAACACGTACTATTTTAATATCAAGGAAAACTACAGCATAACTCCACCCTCAAGTAGTGCAGTGACAGTCGAGTGAAGCTGACGGAACCCTAACTGGTAGCTAGAAAGTAAATTATTAACAATTAAATGTGTGAAGACCTGATCGTAAACTATTCTTTCCACCACTTTCGCCACTACAGGAATGACTGAGATTGGACGATCGTTATTCAAGTCATCGCGTTTGCCTTGTTTAAAAAGAAGAATAACTTTGGAACATTTCCAATCATCAGGAAAAACTCCAGAGACAATACAGTGATTAAAGATGGAACCGAAAGAGAAGGTGCAATCAAGTCAACACATTCACGAAGCAGTCTCACAGAGATCAGATCAAGGCCAGTAGCTTTAGATTGACTTATTTTAGATAATAATGAATAACCAGTAGCTACATCCGTTTTTTGGAGCACGAAGCAATTTTCGGCTTCTTGAGTAAGATTGAGATATTCCAGATGAGGACTATCGATTGATCGTCCTGAATATTGACTGAGTGCAACTTGTCTTGAAAAATTGTGAAATACTGCATTCTGTCCGAGGTCCGTATGATATATAGTACTGTTTCACCTCAGATGTGATGTATAAAAAGTATAAAAGGTTGGTTTTTGTACACCCCCAGATTTGTTGGCAAGATTTTGTAAAGTAAACTTGTCGAACGCAAAAATTTGGCCAGATTTGTTTTCCAAGAATTTGTTTTCCAGGCCTAATTTACTGTAGCCTTGATCGAGAGCCATCATGGCTCTTGAATGTGATCGAAGAGGATTGCTATTTTTTAAGTGTACATATAATGCTATCAACTCGATGTAAGATGTTTCACTCTAAAATCACTTAGCCTTTCCCTCAAAGTCACATGAATGTGCCCGTAAGCCAGTATGCATGTATGGCAACTGCACGCACGAGCCTTCAATTTTAAAAAAGCTTATTGCGCACACCAAAATCGTAGCATTACACGCGGCAGCGTTGGGCCTAAGAGATTTGCACCTGACTTACAGGGACGTAGCCATGATATTTTTTGTCAAATCTACCCTAACCTTTCAGTTCTCCCACACCGTTTCCACATCTCTAGCTTACACTTTTTCTTTCTCATCAGTATGGTGAGGTTATATACGAATGAATGGACTGGCAATTTGTCTGTAATCTTGTTTACAGCCCTTGTTTATGGTGAACTGAACGGTGAAGCATGAACATACTAGGGGGGTCGGGAGGCACGCTCCCCGGGAAAATTTGAAGTTTAGGTCATCTAAAACAGCTGGAAATGCGCCTAAAACTTGCATCCTTCTGATACTTAAGGTGGCTGAACACAGTTTTGGCAGTTTGTGAGTATATGTCATTTGCCAAATCATGGCAAGAGAAAGGTTGCAGCTCACAAGCTGAATTTTGGCAAGTGAAAAATATACTGATGAAAGATTTTAATTGACCAGTAAAATTTGACGTTTTCGAAGTTTCCATGGCGACATGAACGATTAAATACAACCTTAAAATTTCACTTTTTCACAGTTTACATAAAATTCGCTCATTAGATCTTCCTATAAACCTGCACACAGCTTACTATAATTAATCATTACCATTTGAAACTTATTTGACCAAATTTTAACAGACAGGTTTTTAGATTATCAAAAGTATAGTTGTACTGTAATTATTAAATGCGTCAGAAAATTCGTCTGTTCAACTTCCATTTAAAAGTTCTCATTATTTAAAATACGATGAAAGTAAAAGTACTGCCAAATATCTCAAAATTTTAATGAGTAGATTCTGAGAAATCGTCTTCTGTGTACCATTGCTTTTTTCCCCGCCATGTTTGTTTGTCTAATTAAAAACACGTGCCGTCATGCGAGTTACCGCTGACCGCCCGCAAAAACTGTGTTCAGCCACCTTAACCTCACTGTAGGCATTCCCCCTTATTCTGGTAGCACAAATCGTATTGCACGCGGTGCACGCGGCTAAAATCAGCTCTGCACGCACGAGATCTCGTCGAGTTCTGCCATACTCTGCAGACTGGCCCTTCGGTTAACTGATTAGTAGATTACAAGTTTATTGTTTGATTTAAATTATAAATTTATTAATGGCAGTTCCGCTTTTAGCCCTGGCTAAATCTGTTATAAAATGCTGGCTTTCATTTAATCAGTTGATCAAAAGATTGATAACCTTTTGGTCCAGCTGTCCGGCTTGCACGAGATGGTAAACTGAATGAACTTAAAGATCCTCGACAGTTTGTTACTTCTTCCTGTTGACAGCAAAGGACTTCAATCCGTTCCCAAATGCCACCACCATTAACATATCTCTGCAGGGCTTCAGTAAATGTACCGTTTACATTTATTTTGATAACTTTGCTCGCATTTCCTGCTGGCAATTGAAAAGGAAACTGAAACTAAAATGAGACATAAAAGAAAAAGAAAACAATTTGAAATCGTATGACGTAATACAAAGTTCAAATACCAACGACGCCCATAACTGAAATCACACAATGTTGTAAAAGTATGCAGTTATTAAAGAAATGAAAGAAAACAAACAAACAAACAGCACTCCAATGTGGAAATAATCTCAAAAGATTTCAACTTAGTAAGATAATGTATTATAGGCCAACATTAACAGATTGTTTAGTTGCATCAGTCGAACTTATCATGATCGGATTAAACGCTGTACATCTCATGAGATTACTAACGAACGAGAAAAATAGAATTTTTAGTGAATGTTCATCCATGGTTCTATAATCTTGAAAAGGTCTTGAATTTTAGTAGCCGTCGTAAAAAGTCCTTGAATCCGTTTAAGGTCATTGAAAAGTATTTCATCTCAGAAGACTCTCGCCTATCAGACTTCCCGTATTTACTCAGTTAAACGCCGCGGCTTTTGTACAAGGGCAGCATTCATTTCAAAATCAAATTTCGTAAATCACAGACAACCCCTACGATGAAGCATCTGCAAATAACGTTAAGTTCCAATACCTCGCTTTTTTGCCGAGATAGACTCTATCGTCTGGATTGCGTAGATTACCGAGTTCACCACGAGTTGTACTGTACTCGTTTTTTTTATTTTTTTTTTATTTGTTTCTCTTAATATTATCCTAGAAAAAAACCGCATTCTTTTGATCGGTTGCGGTGTTTATTGATAATTTGCTTCTATCCGCGCCGTTTAAACGAGTTAATAAAGTTGTAGTCCATAATAAACCTAAAATATTATAACAGTTGAAAAAGAGGGCATGCACCGGGAAGGGTGGGTAGGGGAGGCGCCTGGAGTCCCCAGAGCTCCCTCCTTAGGGCATGCCCCTGGATAAACCTACCTGTCTCTCAATGCCAGCAGTTTCCTCCTTTCTTGCGACAGTTATAGCCCTAGATATGTCAGACTTTGCTGCTCTTAAAGTGCCAGGAGAATAACTCGGTATAATACACACATTAACTTGTGTTTTTGCAAGGCGACTTCCTCTTGGGGTCCAGTCATACCTTTTGATTAAGTAACTTTTCATTTCCCCGTATATTATCACAAATACTCCCAGCAAGAAGAGCATACTAGTGAAAAGAATACTTCCAATGGCTTTAGAACGAATAACCGCTAAACCGTAAGCCTTTGTATAATTTGTCTTCGTCATGTTCGTGGACTCCACCTTACAGTAATTTTGCAAAGTTTCATTCGTTGGCCCAACTTGAGCGGATACGTAGTAAGATGATTGGAGAAAACTTAGGGAAAGCCAGGCTAATGGATACAATAAAGACAGAATTGCTGATACAGCGATCTTTGCCAGAGGCCAGTCGCGTTCCACTAGCTTGCAACGAATGCAACGTTTGACGTGAAAATCCCACTCGGTTCGGTTGTTGTGAAAATTGCAGGCGAATTTAAATACATAAAGTGATTTCAAAACTTCCCAAGGACCGCTGTCATCTTCTTGTCGAAAGTAAGCAAACACCGCGATCGTGTAGGATGTAAGAGATGGAAGAAACAACATGATCGCGCCATAAGCCACAAACCAAGTGCAGGGACACAAAAAATCATCTTGCTCTGGAAGGAATAGCTTGAATGCGACTATCAGAAACAGAAGGTACATGCCATGCCATCCCATTATTTCAAGCATGTTGAGAAGCCTCAGTTGAACTGTTTGCACCGTCATTGTCTTCTTTGTCGATCACGATTGTATCACAAATCTGTAGGTTAAGACTTTGAGGGTGAAATATTTGCGGTGTGAGTTTATAACAACTGGTTTTGTGAATAAGGTTACTCTAGGCCGCTCAAGACAAAATAATCGCTTATCCCTATATAGACCGCTAATAAAAAAAAGTAATAATTATCGAGGAAGCTCCCGGGTCACATTAAGTGGTTTTCAGGGGAATCCGCGCAAAGGACTTTTAAAAAAACTAACATTAATTACAGCCAAACTTAAACACTTGACTATTATGACGCAAATATGAAAGGCTTAAAAGACTAAAAAGGCTAAAAATACAACCTTACCTCAAGTAAGAACACGATACTGCTTCTCTTACTGACAAGTAGATTGCAATAGTATCTAATTTTTCCAGTATGTCAGCGTTTGTTGTCTCGTTCTAGCTTCGTTTTAGCGTTCTGGCTGTAGCACCTTGTTCAGTGTATCAAGTAGTTTACTGTTCTTGTGCTCTGACCTTGTGCTATAACGAACGCGGGAAGCTACACTACATTAATTTAATACAACCCAAACGCAAGTTATATTCACTGCTCCAGACAAGTCAAGCATTCACCACAAAATATAAGAAAAAACCTTGCTCTGCAGTTGTGAAAACGAAGGTTTATCGTGTCACGAGTGAGGACAAAGAACTGAACACTGAGAGCCTCTTGTATTCATGATGTAACATGTGGAGATCCAAAAACTTAAACGCGCACAGTGCCCTGCAGTAAAAAATACTTGCGACAGTCATGTGATAAGTGTGGTACGAGCAGTCATAATTCAAAAATGAGTCAAGATTATTTTAGGAAATGAACGGAATGTTTTGGGACTTTTGATAACTAGTGTACTGATCAATTCAACATCAGTCTCTTTGAAGGGCAGGTGTGGTTGCCCAAAAAAATCTACTTTCAGCGGAACTCCCGCTCCCCCCACTGCCCTATGGGGCAGAACTGACCTCATTCGTCATATTACGCAGAACGCTGTGGTGATCGGCGAATTCTCTAAATTCAACCGACTAAATATAAAGTGTCGATCCCTGTTCAGGCATGGTCGATCTCACATATTGCTGCTCAGAAGCCTTACTTCCTATTTCTTTTTTCTTCATCGTGGGAAAAGAATCAGAAGGGAGCTGAACAAAACTTTCTTCATTCGTATGCTTCAGTACACTGATGATATCGCCCCGATCGTGCGATAGCGGTCCATTCACTAGCGGCTTCTTAAATAGTCTTCAAAATTTCAACACTTCACTTATATGAAGTATTACGGAAATTATCAGCCATCAAAAACAGCAGGCAATCATTTTGAGCTTTTGAAAACAGAACAATAAAAAACACTGAACAGAATCCAATAGTTCAAAGTCGAATGTGAAGATGATTGTTCTTATCATGCTACACCCTTAAGACCCCTTAAGCGCCTGAATAATGCCGGAGTGATTTGAAAATGAATAACAGGGGGCGTTAACATTAGGGTTAAGGACCTGACTGTTCAGTTAATGGTGATTGATTAAAAAATTACATGATGTCGCTTTAATGACAGATAGCTTTCAAAGCAGTAAAATATTAAGTAAAGACAGAAAGGGAAATAGGCAAAATTACGGGGGAAAATCGCCTTAAAAGCTAAATTTCCTTCAAATTTCTTTTCGTCTTTAATGATCTCATTTTGCCTAATAAAACAAAAATCGAAAACATTTTTTATTTGATAAACATATTCGATGTATTTTTGTTTACTAGTATTTATCTCAAAAACCCTTTTAAACAAGGACAGGAGTAGAAACCTAACAACTAGCCACAAGTTCGGTGAGATAGTGTTGCTTTGATTAACTGCTCTTTCTCCGGTGTTAAGCCTCCGGTTTAAGCCTTTAATACTACAAAAAACGTACTGCTGTAAGATTACAACTTAACAACAAAAAACAAAAAAATATCTTTCCCTCTTTTCACTGATTCTGTTCTTACAGCGTTTATTATTGTTTTAGCTTTTCTACGTCACAGAGGGTAATGATTCATAACCAGGTTGTCCCGCTTGTTGCTGCTGTATCCGTGCAGAGCGAGGAAGCTGGCGGAACGGTGTGTAAGATCCATGTCGGCTTCCGCTCTCTTCCTGTTGCGTACAGCATATGTCGATTCCTTGCCATGCGCCGTCTTGAAGACAGCCTTGAAGTGTTTCAGCAAACACATTGCTCAAATTGATAGTTATCGCTCGGTTGCCGCAGTT